AGATCAACGCAGTACGGAGTAAGGGGAGCGACTAGGAGACCCCATGTCACCATTGTAATAAGGTCGTCCATCCAGGGCCAAAAGAAGGAAATGTTTGTCCCGTCGAGAAAGATCATGGTAAGTGATGGAGACGGATTCGCCACATTACGCGGTAGTTCGTCGATATTCAGCAGTCCGAGTCCCAGAGTTTGGAGCCCTGGGATCTCGAACACCTCTGCAGGGACTTGTGTTATCGGGCTGGCAGTGAAAGCCAAGAATTGGGGTTCGAGTCGCAAAAGTACCGGAGGGATGCTTGTTAGTTGGCTATACTCAAGCAATATCTCTGCTTTCCGAGGCCACTTGAGGTCAAGGTCATCGGGCACTGCACGCAGGTTTGTCACGCAGAACTCGAAGTCGTGGAGGTTCAGTGGAAAATCTCTCGAGTGAAATCCAGCAGGCAACACGCCGTCAGTCATGTTGACTCGGACCAGATAAAGCGACCGCATGTTCGGGTGGTTCACACTCGTGAATGCAGCCGCCTCGCCCCACTCGACAATTGTAGAGTTATACACCTTGACGCCATGAAGTGCATTGAAGTTGCCAATGGATGGTGGGATCTCTAATGCAGGACAATGGAGGATGCGGAGCTGAACGACAGTGGAGCGCTCAAACTCGCTCCACTTGTCTTCCACCTCGTTCATCTTGCCTCCAATTTTTAAGGAATGGCAATCAAGAGCGACCAAGTAACAGGATAGCCAAGACGTTGCCCATGGTCTCACTTGCATCAGGCATTGAGGTAACGTCGGCTGTACGGAAGCGTAAATGTGCAGTGCAAGCACGGCAATCCCCCATGCCCCAAAGAAGAGATGAACCCCACGCAGCATGAGTCGAGCACAATGGGTACGCAACTTAGTTCCACGGTAGCTGTCTCGGGTTTTAGCGAGCATATTTTTGCTACGAAGTTTTGCGTTGGACGGTGCGGGGGAAACTGTGCTCATTTTGTCACTCTTACATTGCTCCACGACAGGGTGACTCTGCAACCCGGTTTCTGCGTTGGGGCAGCCGCTGCAGTAACTCCTTCATATTAGTGGTCGTAAGTACGAGACCCAGAGAAAAGATGGCGCGACTTGCGAGAGACACTACGACAACCATCCGAAATATATTGAGAGCTCGCGCTGCCCACTCATCGTCGCGCCACATGTATAATAGTCCGAGAAGCCCACCATATTGAGATCGTAATCTGTCGCGTAGCTAAGTACAATTATAAGCTCTACACCCATGGACGCTACGAGGTCCAGCACGCAATCCAAGACGATACACGCAAAGCGTCTACTAGCCTCGTCCCCCTTAAAAAGCACAGAGTAGACTAGGACAGAAGACCAGCAATTTACCACGAGCAGGATGATGTAGAATCGATTGAGCAGCGTTCTTGGCAACAGCAAGCTCATGCGGTAAGCTTGGATCGTCTGCAGCGTTGTCTCAATGACTTCTCGAATGGCGAGAATTACATGAAAATGGACACCGTTGACGCCGAAAAATCCATGACGATCCACAACCTTAGCGTAGACTTTCGTAAAGATCTGCAGCACGATCGAGTTCGTTCGATCAGACTTCACTTCGTCGTTTTTATCCTTGACATTGCAAGTAGACCACGGAGTAAAGGCAAGAGATCTCTGCCAAACAGAGCCGCCTAGCATTAAAATGATGGAAAGTGCGTGCAACGCAGACAACGTGGCATGGACGACGACGATTGTGCGGTGATACGGTTGCGGCATTCCGATCTCGAAGCTTTCGAGGTACGTGTTTAGGTACGCTTGCTGTAGCACCCAGTACGAGTAGCTATACAGCGCAGTGTAGATGCACGCGACCACATGAACACTGAGAATGATGAGCCACCAGACAGCGAAACTCCAATACGAGAGTTTGACGACTTGTTCAGGTTGAGTCGTGACATGTTTTTCTTAAGGACCCTTCGTCGGTGAACTTGAGCTATTAATAGTGTTGGTTTTGATTTTGTTCGATTTCGTCGAGATCTAAATTTAACCCCTAGGATTTCCAGCGCACTCATTTACCGAACCCCTTGCACTGTTTGCTTGTATATCAAAGGAAGGGTTACCATACTACAGCTAGTATGTTTTAGTAACGTTATCCTGTATTTAGAAAACCTCACAAATTCCCAGCCCCTAAGATGGTGAACAAATGATAACCTGTACAATACAAGATCGATCTCCTTAGATATACAGGGTACTGTGGTTAAGCGTACTTAGACATTCAAAACCATGCGAAGTCAGTGCGAAAGCTGAACGCAGCCGGAGACAGATGATCTCCAAAAAAAGACTTGAACAGCAGCTGCCAAATCGACCAGAATGCATTTTACTCAAACTAAGATGTAGACTAAATCTAGTTGCTGCTCAAACAGTCGTTTCTACCCGTTGACGCTTGTCCGGCTCGTCATCTGCAGTCGTGCCATCACTTGCCGATCTCGCTTTAGTAGTGGAAGCGGCCCCAGGTGTGCGCGCCCGTATTCTCTTCTTCGCCATCGACGGAGGCAAGTTGGCTCCACTCTTTCACTTTGTGTGCCATATATCGAAGCATGAAAGCTCCTTACCATCGACTTTGTGCTTGATCTTGTTGCATCGATACACACGCGACGCTATAGCCGTCTTTGAGGACGTGGGGGTCGGCAGGACGTGGGGAGTTGACAGGGCTTACGATAGAAGGCCGTCTCATCGCTATTAGCTCCATTCTCTCTCTTCATCTTAGAACACACCTTACAGTTACGTTGACGACGCTTCCGCCCTTGGTTATTGTTGCCATCCCTCCACTCATCAACCTGAAGGAGCTCGTGTAGATGCTGTGCAGGAGGCCCCCGCTTTCTCGGCTTAGTTGGCGTCTGATGTGTGCAGCGGATTCCAGCCCAATCCTCTTCATGCAGCTGCAATATCTCCTGTTTGAGAAACTTGATGTGAGATACTTTTCTTTTTCTTTCACGATTGCCAGATCGATGAGCCCACGAAAAATACCTTTGTAGTACTTCTTGTATTTTAGCAAAAGCTAAAGTGAATATCTATGTAGCATGAAACATACAGGTTAAATTGGATATCCGGTACATACAAACACAGTAACTTGCCTTTAAAGACGGAGTTGATTATGACGGGGTTACATGATGTGGAACACACAGGGGTACGGAGTACCCGGAGAGTTAACAAACTCTCAGTACATAAGTTGGAGAGTTAACATACTCTCATTACATAAGCTGGAGAGTTAACAAGGTCTCTCAGTACGTTGTCTGAAAGTCACACGTTATGCATTTGATTAGGTTTAATTATGCTAGATAGTTAAAGAGATACATTTACCCCTAGGCGGCTTGGCCGCAATAATAGTAAATAAAACACTTCTGGTTTTGAAGCATAAAAGTTAAGGTATTAACTTTGAGCCCTGGTCTTGGGCTGTAAGTGTCCTTTGGATAATGAACTTAGTATTAGTGACTCTTTGAGTCGAACGTCTTCCTCTGACGCTAAAGCTACGGCAGCCCCGCTGCATTGATCATGGACATTAACTCCGCCCATGAACGTCTGGAAATCCTTCAGGATTCTTGGGCACGCTACTTCGGCTTGATCACCCGACTTATCTCTCCTTACCACGCGGTCTTGTTGAATGCTACCTTAGCATATGCACGGGACAGTTATCCCACCAACAGACACCCTTCATGCATGGAACGACAGTCGATTCAGTCACAGTGTATAATCCCCGGGGCACACTTGCCGGTTGCTTCTTATTCTTCTCCACAATTGCTTTGCAGAAGCCCTTACGGTTCGTCATGATGGCCCCGATACTGTAGAAGCCTAGGGCCAGAAGCTGCATTGCAAGTGAGGGTGACGTATAAAAGCGATCGGTCACGACTAAACGCTTTTCGTCCGACCCGTCGCTTCCAAACACCTCGATTAGATTGCGAATAACCGCAGCCGGTCCGGACTTCGTGTCCGTCGAAGCCAGTCTGTTTTATACGGCGATACACTTCAAACCTGTAGGATACAAGACACCGCGGTAAGTAGCCTGTAGATACAGGATCAGATAGCTTAGAACCAAAAAAGGACGGGTGTGCCTGCCGGCACGCCCAATACTCACTGAATACAGTACGCCATCGAAGAGCAGCACAGCATGAATAGCTGGGTACCCCACTTGTGGGGCTTGTCCTTCATGTAGACTCTCATGCAGTTGAATGACGACCTCGATGGAAGCATCGCCTCATCGAATGCCATTACTGGCAAGTGATTGTAGCCAAGTTTGAAGCAGTTTTGAAGAGAATCAATCACAGGCCGAACCGTAGCGCGAGAGTCAGAGTTGCTACTAAAATGTAGGTTTCTGGAGATGTGCATGAATCGATCTCTTTTCATGTAAATTTCGAAGCGACTACGTGGAATAGCTCCTTCATAAGTAATCTTCCAGTGATGTTGCAGCTTCGAATTGTTCGGTGATATCGTTCTGGCTAGCAATAGACCGAAAAAAACGCACAGCTCTCGAGCTGTAATATCTGGTGTATTCAGAAGACTTGCCTTGATTTCCTCTCGACTACTTTTGTTATACTCAGGCTGCTTCTTCCACGCGCCTCTTGCTTCTTGTATTGTCGCTCAGCTCTCTCATCCAATTGCTCCATGAGATATTCGTTTGACGCAGCAGCAACATCCTTCCACAGCTGCGGCTGGACGAAATAAAAGAAGATGTCCATCGCCGTAAAAGCCGCTTTAAGCGCTCGAGTCGTTGGGCCATAACCTCCACCGTAAAGCCCCCGGAATTCATTTGCCATAACGCCACTATCTCGAGCTTCATATGGTTCATTCAAGTATTGGTAGGGGCTATATGACACAGGTTCCGTCCAGCCACTTGTGCCCATATCCTTCAGGATGTCAGCGTTTATATTACCTCCAGCAATACCGACAATACCACCAGCGGTTTTTAGGAACATCTCGTCGAATAAGACATCTCTAGCTTTCCCGTCACTATCTCTTTCTTCAAGAACAATGTCTTCGTACGCATTGGCTTCTGCCTCCGATCTTTCACCATCAGACGCGCCGTCGTCGTTCTCAGCGTCAGACGACAATGCGGTAAACCCATCTAAATTTCTCCAGTTTGTAGAATGCTCACATATGGAATATATAGATACAAGATACAAGCTACAATTAATATCATGTATCATTATCCTGTACATACAAAGTGGCCAGCCTGATAATATAGCAACTATTCCCGAAGACCGGCCTGGGGCATCTTCAGCTCTTGTATACAGTTCTTCACGATCTTTCTCCCTTTCTTCTATACCAAGTGTGTAGTCTCCCGCATCTCCTCTCTCCGCTTCACCAGCAAAAACATCTCTCAAGTTGCGGCGCGGTGATGGAGAGTATTCCGAGCCCGAGGGGTCAGCAAGTGGTCCTCCCGCTGGTTGAGTCACGTGAGGACTTTCATAACGCAGTGTAGGCGGTACGGATCCACCTTCACTTGCTGCGCTGTCGCTGCCTACTCGCAAATACAATAAAATGCAAGATCCAGGCTAGTAAAGTCGACCATCTTGTAAAATACAGGACATACCAATTGAGGGGGAGTCTGCACCGTTCCGTGGTGGTGTGTCGCCTGCAGGCACGTCTACTTCTTCACCGGCTGCTGACGATACATTGGGAGAGACTTGATGCTCAAAAGAAGCTTCAGTACCAGACAACACTCCTAGATACAGTACATCAGCAAGACACAAGCTACACCGGTGAGTCAAAGTGGATAATACAGGATATAAGCGCAGTTACCGTCACAGCCGCTGCTTTGGGCCGTGTCTTCGATCAGTGGGGTCTGAGACGTCTTCGTTGCTGCCTCTGTGATATATTGACAAAATCGTTTGGTCAATGGTATGAGCTCACCCAAGTCCAAGCGATCCAGATTACGCATCAGTTCTTCGTCCCCAACGAAATAGTCACCCCCTCGTATGTCACCCTCTGTCTTTCTTGGCTTGAGACAAGTATAGCCGCTTGAAAGACCTGTTGGCGGTCTAATTTCAACCGTAACACCTTATTTTTGTAGTCCACACCAATACCTGCCTCTACATTCGTGTATTCATACGGTGTGTATGGGATGGGCCTGTGGGAGGGTTCGGTTGGCTTATTTTTAAACCCGATCCCTATTTGACCTAAAGTTTGTAAGCAAACATACAAATTTACGTTTGTTTCTCTTATTCTGTATTATACAGGATAAGCATTTTTTCTAATCCTGGAGAATCCAGGCCGTCGGGATCAAGGGGTTAAATCGCAATTAAAACTGGGTTTTGTCGAGCTTGGTTGAAACTGTAATTCTATACTTTTCAGACGGCGAGATGTGTATTTAGTCCATTCAGTACTGAACATGTTTTGAATATCGCACGCGCGCGCAATTGACAAGTCTCCTTCAACTCTCGCACGTGGTGAAGCTGAAGTGGAAGAGGAGAATGACAGTAAGTGCAGTGTCACTGACAGTGGTGATCTAGCCTACATGAGGAGCTAATGTCCGCGCAGCTTGAAGAACAACGATGACTGTAGGCCGTCCAAAGTCTAGCGTCTGGACGCTCTTCAGCGAGGCGAGTGAAAATGGCCGAGTCAAGGGTCTTCGCTGTTCCACAGAGAAATCCAACCCGAAAGCCCACAAACTGGAGAGCCACTTCATGCACTGTCAGGATTACACATTGGAGGAGAGGAAGAAGCGAAAGCGCACTGCCATTGAGCGTAAGGAGAAGGATATCCGGAAGAGGAGACGACAGAGAGGCGTCCAGCTTGACGGAGAAGACGTAACTGGACAGCCATCCCAATCTGTCCCTTTTTTCCAAGCTCATCTTGACAAGCTTGTTGCTGACTTTGTGTACGAGTCGGGGATAGCTTTTCGCATCGTAGAGCTGCCAATTTCTCGCTGTTTGATCACCAGGGGGGGGGTCGAAAACGCGGACGAAAGCGATGACGAGCTAATTGAAGATGGCTGGCTGGCGTGGCAGAGCGTTTGAGTCAAGTTGAAGATTACGTTCTCGACTACAGCCTAGACTACTTGGACTCAGCTTTGAGATCAGATTGATGTTTGTCGTTACCTTTATATATCCGTGTTCACATCCTTGTTTTAGGCTCTGTTCAGTGCACATTTAGGTAGCACACCGGCTCGTGACCGTCGTTGACGGAGAGTGTAGTTGCTATGCCTATTTTGATAGCTTTATACCAGGTAAGCTGCATTTAATATCAGGTTATTATTCTAGACATTGCTCGCACGAGAAATTTTATTCATTACTGGCGTGCAGTGGAGCTGACACCTTGGGTAACCAATTTGACGCGAGTCGCACGAAGCTGTCGACAAGGATTAACTGCGTCTGCATGCTAAGGTAGAAGAATAATCAGCAGTGGTTACCATCACACGAGGCCGAGTACAGCATCTAGCCATTAAACGAGCTACAGGTCACCAGGCGCTTGACGCTGGTCACGCTGGTGCCGACCATGTGGTGATTGATGGTGACAATCTTGACATGGTCGACTCACACGCGCTACATGATTATCTTGCAGTTGTATAGACCATGGATGGTGACGCCATCACCGCCTAAATGGAGTGCCGATTCCGCTGTGTGATGGCCCTGGGTTTTGTTCGCAAATTTATTCGATTTTATTTGCATTTTGTCGACAAAAATCCATTTTAATTGCGAACAAACCAGCACTACCTTTAGCCGTTTCTGAAAGTGTATTGTAAACTCCGACCAAATTTGCCGTTTTTGTCCTATTCGTTTGATAGCGAGTTGCGAATGCTTGCTTTTGGTCCTCTCTGTCTGTTGTACATGAGTTAACCCCTCTGTTACCAACATCGTAAACCACGATTTTAAAAATCCTACGTCATAAATTACGACGTAGCTCAAATGTAACGGGGTACGTAACCATAAGTGTATCCCTAGTTACATGACGTGTCACGTCATACTTCGAGATATTGGGTACAAGGTACCAAGGTCGTTCGAGACCAACCATTGGCTGATGACACTGCTTTTCTATGGGTGACTCATAGTTTGAACATTTAAGTCAAGCCTAGCCTACTATAGATATACTCAGCTTACAACCTACCTTAAATTGGTCACCTCGCTCCCTTTTGGTAAAAGGAACCTGTGAACTGCCGTTTACCGAGCGTGTGTATACTCTCGGAACCCAACTTCCTCTAGCGCAAGGTGCTATGTAACCCCGTCACACTTGGTAGCACTCGTAGTCAATCCACGCCAACGCGGGTAGACTACCTGAACCTCTCTGAAGATCGTTTCCATGAATAAGAACGACTTCTTCCATCTGAACGAGTCATAGTTCGAGTCGGTTCGGAAGATGGCAGGCATCTTCGGGATGGAGGCCCTGCAGAGCCTGGTGGCGTCAACACCGGCCGAGCAGCTCGAGCGCGTCAATGCGTTCGACGCTTACAAGCAGGGACTCATCGCGCATTTGCGGGAAAACCTGCAGGGTCCGGCGGCGGAGACAACTCCGCCACACCCCAAGCCAATACGACTGAAGGTTAAGCCATAGGAAGGGAAGGAAGGTGAGAACCTTCACGTCTGGGTCCGAGAGGCAGAGCTCGCGATGGACGCAGCTCTGATCTCGACCAAGCAACCTCGTGTTGCTTTTGCACTCTCCAACTTTAGCGGTCGTGCTAAGCGTTGGGTGTACACGCGGGAGGCAACATCCCCTGGATGTTTCACATCCTGGGCTCAGCTGTGTGAGCAGCTACGAGCTGCGTTCCTCCCGGCGAACTACGAGTACTGCCAGCGCTCGCGCCCCTCTCGTACAAGCAAGGGAGGCGTGAGCTGCACGAGTACGTCCAAGAGATACGGGAGCTCACGGCGTCCCTAGTGGGAAACCCACTGAGCGAACACATCAAGATGACTGTGCTCATGGACGGCCTTCGCGTGGGCCCAGCGCGCGCTCAGCTGTTCCGGGTGCAGTCAAGCACCCTTGAAGAGGCGATTCAAGTGGCTTCAGGAAGAATACAGCCATCGCCAGGCGCGTAGGCCAGCGTCAGTATGGTCTGGGAGTTCTTTGTCGACTCCAGGCCGAGCGAGCCCCAACGGACCAGTTCGCATGGAGCTCGGGTCCGCCGAGCAGCGCGACTGCCCCACGGAAAGCCTCCGCAGACGGACTTTCTCAAAGCCCGTCCTCAAGGGTCGCTGGCAGAAGCCAGGATCCCCGGGACAGGGGAACGCGGGAAACCAGTAGGGGCGGGGTACCCTACTGGGGAAGAACTAAGTGGTGCGCGGGTGGCGCGTACCACGGGGACTTAATCCCTGAGAGTCTTCGTACTCTCGAAACGGCGAAGAGCAGCGGCGGGTTGCTCGTAGTACACGGATGTGTACGGGGATATGATCACCCCTTTAGAATCTTGATCGATTCTGGGGCGTCGAAGAATTTTGCACGCCGCCAGACGGTTGCTCGTAATAGCAACAAGTTGTCCGATGCTTTGAGAGAAAGCAAAGGCAACGGGACGGTGTCGGCACGACTGGCGGACAAGAAGGTCGTCACTGTCCCCGACGTCCAAGTGGATTTGGCTGTCAAGTTTGAAGACTTTGACAGCCTCGAACGGCTCACTGTTCTCTTCATGGATCCCTACGATAGGAGCCTGGGCATGCCCTGGCTTGACGAGTACGAGCCCTGGATCGCCTGGCGAGGCAAGGCAATCGGTTCCAGTCACCCTACGAAGTCCGACAGAGCATTAATGAGTCATTCTCCCACCTCTGTCATGACTCGGGGCGCCCGCAAGGGTTGCCAGGGTACCGAAGAATCCAACAAATGCTTGGGGGGCGTCGACGTATATGACGACTCCGAGAACGCTTCGATGGTGGCAGCGCCCAGAGGAGGCGCTGGCCAAGTGGATAACTGAGGTCCACAAGCGGGTAACATTGCTCCGCAGACAGCTGCAGCTGCCACGAGCGCTGGTAATAGCGTGTTCAAGGTGGGTAGCATAGTGCCTCACGCGGTCGCCCAGACCTTAACCGAAGGGGCAGACGTCGGATACGCTCCCTGTGTGGGTAACACAGAACCACACGAGGCCTCTAGTGCCTCGGGTGTCGGCACTCCGACATCTCCAGACGTGGGTAACAAAGTTCCACGTCACGGTCGCCGTCGAAGACAAAGCCGCCGCCGCCGCCGAAAGTCGGATCTGAACCTCGTTCAGATCGATGTCGCTTCAAGCCACTCGGAGTCCAGGGCACGGGCTCCTCTGACAAGGCCGGTGGAAGAGTGTTATCACATCTTCGATGGCGAGGCCGGTTTACCCGTCAAGGCATCTGGTGTGAACTTGGAACCATTGCCAGATGTTGCAGAGATATTGAACCTCGAGGAAATGGCGGTCGAGGTTTTCCTAGCCAACCACAAGGCTGGGAAGGTTGCCGAGATGGTACTCATAAGACCTGAGACCACTCGGGAGGAGTTAAACCCATCCTCTGTCTTGGACGAGGGCGTCCTGGACGAGCTGAACAAGCAGCGTCAGACGCGCTTGGGTTCTGATATGGTTAGGAACCCCACGGATCCGGTGTATTCTTTGGTGACGGAGTATGCGGACGTGGTAAACAAACACCCACCGATCCAACTCCCACCAGATCGAGGCGTAAGGCATGAGATCGATCGCGATCTCGTGTCTGGCACAAGTTACTGTGTAGTTCGTGCTTATAACAAGCTGAACAACGCGACGGTGCCGGCCCAAACACCTCCCATGGAAGGATATGTTGTTGAACAACATGGCCGGAAGCGTACTGTACAGTGCGCTGGATTTGGTAGTCGGATACTACCAGATCCTGATGCGAGAAAGCGACATCCCGCTCACCGCGGTGAGCAAGCCAAACGGCATGCTTTTGAGTAGCTCGTCATGCCGCAGGGCTTTTCTAATGCCCCGGCGACATTCAACCGCCTGGTGACGCAATTGTTCAGGCCGCTACGTGCCTTCGTACAGACGTACTTCGACGAGAGCTTCGTCCATAGCCGTGCCGAGGGAGGCAAGACGGTCATGGAGGTGCATCTGGGCACCTCCGCCGAGTGGACGTGACGCGAGCGAACACGCACTACGCCAACATCGACAAGTGCGTCTTCGCGTCACCAGATATTAAGGCTCTCGTTTGCTTCGTAAGCAATGTGGGAGTTGGTGCTGTCCTCGACAAGGTCAATGCCATGGCAGCATGTCCAGCGACTAGATCCCAGAAGGATCTTCAAAAATGGTTGGGCTTGGCCAACTACCTTCACTAGTACAGCGCAAGGTACGCGGGCTTCGCTAAGCTCTTGTCGGGTCTCCTTCAGAAGGGCGCCGACTGGCGCTGGGAGCAGGAGCGCCAGGATGTCTTTGACAGCATCGAGAACAGTCTCTAAGAGGCCCCTGTCCTGGCCCTGCCGGACGAGACGAAGCCGTTTACCGTCGTCTGCGATGCCTCCGACTATGACATAGGTTGTACACTGCCGCAGGTCGACACGGCTGGACATGAACGAGTCATCGCGTTCCAGTCCAGACAGATCAAAGCCGCCGAGCGGCAAGGAGCTCCAGGCAATGCAGTATGCCCCTGTGAAGTTTCTGGTTCACCTTCTGGGCTCTCGGCCCTTCGCGATCTACACAGACCACGGCATCCTTGAGGACGGCGACAAATTCGCCTTACCTCTCCCAACGGATGGCAAGGTGGCTGTCCTTCTTTGTGGAGTACGACTTTCACGTCGAGTACAAGCCGGGCAAGCTCAACGTGCTTGAGGACGCTCTCTCTCGGCGTCCAGACTACGAGTTTCCCACATCACACGAGTGACAACGGATCTATATGATCGGATTCGCATGGCGTATCGGGACGATGAGGCTGTGGCACCTATCGTTAAGTTTCGCACGGCAGGAACGAGCGCGAAGTCCGACTGGCTTTCATCGCGACAGAGCCCCTGGCTCCACCGATATGATTTGAAGGATGGCCTTCTCTTTTACCCGGTGGAGCCCAATGAACCTCTACGGGTGGTCGTACCCAACGACGAGGATCTGAAGCTCTACATCCTCGCGGAGGCGCACGACGCGCCCTCCTGCGGCCACTTGGGCCGCGTGGAGACCTCCCTGTCGGTCTCTCAGACCTTCTGGCGGACCCACATGTACAAGTGGGTCGCCCGATATGTGAAGACGTGTGAAACATGTCAGCGTGACAAACCCGCA